ATGTACAATATTGACCCAGATGATTATGTTCCAAGCACTATGCGCGGAAAGCATATTTTAGGTAAGTCTTTTAAGTTCACATGAATTGAATGTATTGAATGTATTGAATGTATTTCTTTTTTAATGAATAAAATGTTTTTAATAAATTTCCATAAATATTTTTAATAGTTCTTGGAGCAACAGGTGGCCTTGGAGCTCAAGTAGTAAATCAAGCACTTGAAGCTTCGTATCACGTAACAGCACTGGTTCAAAATGATATTAATTTACCATTTACACGACGTCAATTAAGAAATCCAAATCTTGTAATAGTGGTTGGATCAGTACTTCGTCGCGAAGATTTAGATAAAGTAATTGAACATCAAGACGCCGTTATAAATTGCTTAGGACCAAAACCACTATTTGCTACAGATATTGATATATGTTCACGTAGTCAAACATTAGTCATTTCAAGTATGAAACGATTTGGAGTTAGACGATTAATTGCTGTAACATCACAAGGAGTCATCGATGATTTTAATGAAGACAAAATAATGAAAGCCTCTTGCACTATACAACCACAAATTACAAATGGAATACAAAAGCTTTTTGAAAATTTATTTTCTGCCAAAATTTTGCAGGACAAGGCAATTCAAGAAAGAATTATAATAAATAATAATAAATACATTGATTGGACAATTATTAGACCTGGAAAGTTGACAAATGGTCAACTAACAAACGAGTATATGGTAAATGAGAAACCGAGCTATAACAAAATTTCAAGAGCAAATGTTGCACATTTCATATTGAAAGAGTTAAGAAGTTCTGAATGTGTCAGAAAATGCGTTAGCGTGAGTAGTATGAATAGTTAAAATATATATATATAGTTAAAAAAAATCGGCAATTCTTTTTTTTTTTTTTTTTTTTTTTTTTTTTTTTACACTTTCGTATATCAATAATATCGTCATTCTTTAATAACAAAGATATTATGTATATATCAAACAAAAAAAATACTTATCAAAAAGTAACAATTGTAATACGTTCATATTTAAATAATATTATTAATTTATTATTAATTTATTATTATTATTACAATTGTTATTATTAGGCGAATATTTCCGTAGCTTTTTAATTAGATTTATCACTTTTAAAAATCTCATTTCATCGAGATTTTTATGTATTTTTTTATTATTCTAATAATGATTAATTTTTTTAACAAATATTATTAATGTATCTCCGCAATTTTCATGCGAGTTTTAGGCTGGGTTTATGCTTTTTTTCGGGGGAATACATTAATTGGTAAAAGGGTTTTTTGGTTTTAATATATTTTTTTTTTCAATGCTTCGAATTATTTATGAATTGCTGATTTTTTATATGTCCAAGTGACAAACTTCTTCAACATGTGGCTTTATTTTACATGTAGAAAAATAATTTCATAATACGCATTTAAATAATTCACATGTCTATTACGTATAATGTATAATAAAGAATTTTCATTAACACACGTTTTAATAATTATTAAAGTCAACTTTTATACTTGCATTCATACTTAATTTGAACGCTGTTAGAATAGCACGATCATCATGTAAGGTTTCATTTATGAAATTCAATCTCTGATTTTCAGCCATAAAACTTGCAAAGTAAATCAGATACATTCCACTCTCTTGATTAACTAACAACTTATAAATCCACCCACCAATTTTGTTTTAGCAAATTTCCACAAACACTTTTACATAAAATTGTTCGGGACTTCTGCCGAGTACTCTCGCTAATACTGTTAAGTATCTTTGAAATAAAATACGTATAAGTTATATAATACATCGAATTTTGCGCAAAAAATGTTATTACAGTTTCGGTTTTATTTTTATTACCAATTCAATTGTGAAATCATGTGAAAACATACAAAGTTTTCAATGGATTCAATTTTGACATGTTTTACGAGGGAATCAAAGTCGGTTTGGCCTGCATTGATGTGATACAGGCCGATCGATCTTTTATAATTCTGACCAAAACCAAAATCATAATGATAATGATTCAATTAGATCGTTATTGTTATTTTGTAGGTGCAGTCTTCGTATTAGCCGAGAATTTTGTCTTTATTCCCTGGCACGGCGAGAATAATGAATTATTTTCCCCATAACGCCGTTTTATTAATTGATGGCCAGGGCTATTTCCCAACTTAGTTTAAAATTAAGTCTTGCAAAAATAACACTAAATCCCCATAAAAAACCGTGAATAATTTAAAAATTTATAATCGTTGGAACATATTTTTTTAGACAAATAATTTCCGTTTCTCTGCTAGTCCAAATTTGATCGTCTCGTCCCATATTCAATTTTCGGATATAGCTTTTTGGGATAACAATCAAGACTTTGTTAATTTTTTCAAAATGATGGCCGTTAGAACAATAATCAATTGTTAAAATTGACCTTCCGCGATAACAGCCATGAATTTTTGTATTAGTCTCAGGTAGGTAGTAGCCAAAAAGGAAGGGAATAAAATATTATTTCGTTTCACTCATAATAGATGTTAGATTCGAATCCCATTTCTAGATAAAGTTGCTTTGTTTTTTTCTAGCGCTACTAATCTAAAGGTTTCTATAAAAAAAAAAAAAACCTAAATTAGATTAGAAAGAGATTTCGCGAGGAAACTTTTTATTAGTGCATAAGAGTAGTGGTTAGCCTCGTGTCAACTCATGGTTTATTGTGCTAAATTATTTTGTTATTCGGAATATATTTTCAAATATATATATATATATATATATAATATATATAATATATATACATACGTATGTATACAGTTTTAAAATTAGATTTTTTTTTATGTTATACCTGATCTTGAAATTTGGTTGGCTAGAGAAATTTGGGGTGTAATGTAGGATTCAACCTTTGGACCAATAAAAAAAAAACCAATGCAGATTTTCGGTTTACTCAGAAACAAAAACAATGAGTTCTACGAAGTCTCTTATTCCTCCCAAGTTATCTGTTTCCGGAATAACAGGCGGTGCAGCAGCCTTTGCTCAGCTTGGTGACCTTTACAGTAGATTGCCCAAGGGACCTCTAGTTGAAGGTATACCTCATACGATGCCTAGATTACTTGGAAGATACTGGTATAGATACATTCGAACCAGCTCACCTGCTCCTCTTTTACATATTATTTTGGGTGTTGGTCTTGTGAGTTATGCGGTTGATTATGAACTTCATTTAAGTAAGTAAATTTTTAAGGCCTTAATGAAATTCTTTGAACAAAAATTTAGAACATATTGTAAATTTTAAGAATTTCTCACATATTTACCATTTATTATAGAGCATCACAAGAACAGACCACATCATTAAACCATTATCTAATATTCCACTTTGGCTGCTGAATAAAAAAAATATATCATTTTACTCGTGGAACTTAATTTTTAATTGTATGTTATATAACATTGTCTTAATGGTGTGTTTGTGTATCTGAATGGCGGATTGGAATCTCCAATCTAGTGACTTATCCAGAGACTTGAATTAAATTGTAACGAAATAGATTTATCATAAAGATAGTTGATTACAAGTTGATCAAAATAAGGTTAAGTCTCTGAATTAATAATAGAGTATTATTAATAAATTAATGGTCGAACTTTTTCGAAACTATAAACTTAGATCGTAAGGTCCCATCCACCGTTCTCTTCTTCATCCTCTCGAGTCAACAAATTCATAGTAATTTATTGGTTTTATATTTAACAATTGATTTTGATTTAGCAAAAAAGAAACTGTTTGCTGATAATATCTGCTCGATCTCTTATGAAAATCACCGTTGCTAGATTTTTGAATTGTTATTGCAGTTTCAGTCCCAAATATTTTCATTACATAGATATCCTTTGTATATCACTTGATGTTCGGAGCAAAATTTTAACCGTATATGCTAGGTGTTACGAGAAGAGATCAAATTTATACAATTTAATTAATCATAAAATTTTTTTCATTAATCAATTTATGGATGGGTCAATATATCAACTTATTTTAGTATCGATCGATTCGTACTAACGAGACGTAAGTGTGGTATTAAACTCGATAGAATCTAATCAGTATATCAGAGTTGACCGTGTGAATTTGGCATGTGCAGTAAACTTCATTATACTGTAGTTACTATTTTAAAATAACTCATTGAATATTTAAATATTGATATTGATATAGGGCGATATAATACGCAAAAATTACATCAATTTTTATTCTTAGCGTTAGAAACTTTCACAAATTACAACCACCATGTGATTATCAAAGTAAATCAAAAGAAATGATCTTATGTAATTTCGATGTAGACGACTGAATAAAAATAGGAATCAAAATGCCATGGATACACTAGCAATAAAAAAAAGGAAAAAATTTTCACAATCGGAAAATAATTACATTGCCAATTATTGATTCTCTTTTGCTTTTCGTCTAATTCTTTGATAATGAATTTTTACACCATCTTTCACTTATTTATTATTATTATCTCTATCTCTCTTGCCATCGGTCATCCTCTCGTAAATAGAATTCAATCCAATTCAAATTTACCCTCTTTAAAACGTTCACAATCATCTCATGAAATGAATGTGCGTGCAAATGCTAATTGTAAATCAATATGCAAAAAGCAATGTAAAGGACTAAAAGGACGTGAGTGGGATAATTGTTATAACGGTTGTATGATTAATTGTCGTTAATACAATTCTGTGAAGTTTGGAATATGGTGAATTTTTTTCTCATGAAAAATAAAAGATGGAATAATAACAATCTATTAGTGAAGCTAAACATGAAATCTGTGAAATTTAGTTGAGAACTAGGCACATTATAATTAAAATTTTTTAACAGAATAAAGTACGAACAATGCTAGGCGAATTATAACATTATTTCAAGGGTTTGGAAGTGGTGCGAAATTTTTTAATATTATGAAAAGCATTAATTGAACCAGGGCTGTGATATCTTATAATTAATGCTAAAGCTTTCGATTAATTTTTTTAATAACTTTGTGTTTATAAAACATATTTATGATGTTTTGTAACTACGTTAAATTACAGTTTGGTTTGGTTTGTAATTCTAAGTGAAATGTTCAAAAAATTCTTTTCATATTATAAAAACAATCTTAAGAACATTGTAAAATAAACGATATTTTTGTTTATTATTATTATTTAGAGAAACTATACTGTTCAAATTTAGCCTTTTTATTAGTTAAAGGCTTTCTGGTTTAAACTTTGTTTACGGCCATTTTTTTTGTCTCTTCAGGTTTCATTTTGAGTGTGTTTCTTTGGATACTCTTTTTGGGTGCTTTCGTTATGAATACTTTTATTTGGTGAGCATTTGTTATGAGGTAGCTTTCATATAGTAAGTTTTTACTTTTGCTTGGTGAGCATTTGTTATGAGGTAGCTTTTATAGTAAGCTTTTACTTTTGCTTGGTGAGGTTTTTCTTATTTTTAATAACATGAAAACTTTTAAAATTTATTTAATTTTTATATAAATAAAGCTTCTGTCTTCCAGGCAAATTTGTCTGGAATTTTGAAAAGTATTAACAATTTTTTAAATAAAATTAAATAATATTAATAATGAAGATATTTATTATTGTTATTATTATTATTATTATAATGCCATAGTAGAAACTTTATTAGAATAAACCCAAATTAATCTAAAAATTAATAGTTTTCACATTTTTAGACTAGATTTGGGTGAGGGGTTAGATAAATCATTTGATCAGGCTGACAAGTTCTTCCAACCCGGCAATAGCTAAGTTAGAGAAAGTTTGGCTTTAGGAAATAAACCTATTATTAAAGATTTTTAACTATATTTGTGCTACAGAGCACCCAATATGATATTACACCTTCTATTTTTTTATCTAAATACTATTATTAATTTAAATAAATAAAGAAATTCTAGCTAGGATAGGTTAAAGAAAATCTTGTAGTAGTAATCATGATATTATAAGAAGCATGTTAGTAAAGTAAATTCTTATTATTTTTTAATAGCATCATGTGTGTTTATTAGTTAAGAAAAGAATGTGTATATATTTGCTTGGTTGTTGGTTAGTAGTAGAGCCACTTTAGTATATTTGGATTTTTGTATAATATTGCAAGCTAATTCTTATTAATGCTAAAAAGAATTTTGTTGGAACTATATTTCTTGATAGAACTAGTTTAAAAGATTGTTTGAAAAGTTAGTAAGAAATAGTTTAGTTTGTTTATTAAGTAGGATTTTGATATTATAATATATTGATTTAGATATATTTTAAAAATATAGTAGTAGAAAGAGAGTTAGATTGTATATTGAAAGAATTTGTTGTAAATAGTAAGTGAGAGTTAAAAAGTATAGTAAAAGAAATATTAAGTTGAAGTTGATGAAGTGTATTATTAATTATATATATATATATTTTTTTTTTTTTGATAATCATATCACAACTTTATTCCATATTATAGAATTTACATTTATAATAAATATGTAATTTATTTATAGCTAAGCTATTTTAAACTAAAGTGTAGCTTACCTGGTTGCCAATTAGTACCTATATACGATTTGCCAAAGTAGAATTGACCTTGCTACTTCTTCTTTATCTACCTCAAATAATAAGTTTATAGTTCATCTGTCCAGACCTATAGCCTATCATAATTATATTTAATTTTTATTCTATCTGGACTATCTTTCAGTCTATATCTATTTATTTATTTCTTCTATTACTATATTTATTCTTTTTTTAAATAATTCTTGCCAGTTTTTTCCTATTTTTTTTTCCTTAGATCTATTCTCTATTATATCAGATTTGTTTTGCAGTTTGGCTATATTTGGCTTTTTTTGTAACTTTTTTTCCCAAGTTCTTTTTTTTTTCTTTTTCTTGAGATTAATACAAAGTTTTTTTTTCTACCTTGCGACTTCTTTATAGTATTGTAGCCAGATTTTTTTTTGGAGAAAGTATGCTACTTGTTCTACTATTCAAGTATTATTGTTCTTTTTTTCTAGTAATTCTAGTTAACTTAAGTGAAGCTATTAGGTCTGTTTTAATCAGACCTCTTGCTAGATAATTTATTTTTTTTTTGTTTATCTGCAATACTTCCTTCTACAAATACCAAGTATATGTTGTCTTGTATAATTTTTTTTTTTACAAGCATATTCAAGTTTTACCAAATTTCTTTTGCTATTGCATACTCTTTTTCTATTCACCATGATTCATCTACTTTACATAATATAAGGTGTTCAAAGTTTTTTTCTTTCTTTTTACACTTTCTACATATTGATACTAGATAAAAGTTTTTTTGGTTTCTTTTTTATATATATAATATAGGCAGAAAACTATTTAAACTCTTAAAGCCAATACTAAATGGAAGAAGCTGTACTACTTACACAACCTAGAAAATATATGACAAACACATTACCAAATCACAGAGGCAATCTCCAAAAGATGTACCAAGCTCCAAACCAATACAACCTTTATGCTTAACAGCATTCTGAACCGGCACAGAGACCCTGTTAAGTTTGACAATATCAAACTAAACCAAGACGTTATTACAGACCCTACTATGATCAAAACACATATCTAGCAACACTTCAATGACTGGATAGCAACCTGCCCAATTGATGAAACCTTATTTAACACTGAATAGCAAACAAAATACAACCCTCAACTCCATATTCAACAAGACTGGTATCAGGAAGCACTCTCTACCATAACTCAGAAAGAGGTTCTTTCCACTCTCAGCCAACTACCTCTCAACAAAGCCTGTGAGCCCTCTGGGAGATGCTTAAACACACAGGCCCAACCTTCTTACAAGCCACAATGGCACTCCTTAATAGATGCCTTACTACCCAAACAGTCCCCAAATAGTGGAAAGAGGGCAGGATATACTCCATTTCCAAAAAACCTATTTTTGATGGGAACCTAGCTAACACGAGATCTATCAGCCTCATCAAACATATTAAAAAGTTATACACTAAACTTCTTACTAATTGGCTAAACAATATTCTATCCAATCACTTAATCTTATCCCCATTCAACTATGTTGTACTTCCAGGTAACTCTACTTCAATCCCAATTCATACTCTTAACAATATTATAGAAAACGTAGCATGCAACTCCAACCAGCTATGGATACTATTACAAGATATAAGCAAGGCTTATGACTCTGTCAACTTCAGCCTTTTTAGAAAATCACTACACAGAATAGGCATGCCTGAACCTCTTATCAATATTTTTACCAACCTCCTCTTTGACTGCTCCAACAGAGTTATAACCAACCTAGGCCTTACAAACCCCTATATTGTTAAAAACAGTATTGACCAGGAAGAAACCATCACCCTACTATTTTGGAGAATCTATTATGACCTACTAATTACAAAA